ACTAAGCCTCCTTTCTTTAATGGTAATAATTATAGTTATTGGAAAAATAGAATGAAATTTTTCTTGCTTTCTATTGACTATGATTTGTGGGATGTTGTTGAAGAAGGATTTAAAATTCCAACAAAAGATGTTGATGGTGTTAGAGTTGTAAAGCCTAAAGAAGAATGGTCTATAATTGAAAAGAAAGCATGTTCTTTAAATGCTAAAGCTATTAATTGCTTGTTTTGTGCTTTGAATTAAGTTGAGTATAATAGGGTGTCGATTTGTAAAACCGCTAAGGATATATGGGATAAATTAGAAATTACTCATGAAGGAACTAGTCAAGTAAAAGAAACAAAGATTGACATGTTAGTTCATCAATATGAAATGTTTAAAATTGATGAAAATGAAGCTATTTCCGATATGTTTATTAGATTTACTAACATTGTCAATGCTTTAGAAGGACTTGGAAAAGAATATTCAAATCTTGAGAAGGTAAAGAAGCTCTTATGGTCCTTGCCTAAACAATGGGAGCCTAAAGTCACCGCCATTCAAGAGGCAAAGGATCTCAAGACTCTCTCCATGGACGAACTCATTGGTTCGTTGATGACGCATGAGATAAAGATCAAGAAAAATATGGAGGATGAGAAGAAAAAGAAAGAGAAGAGCATAGCATTAAAGGCCATCACCTTGGAAGTTGACTCCGAAGGTGAGAATGCCCTTGATGAAGATGATGTGGCCTATCTCTCACGTAAGTATAAAAATTTCATCAAGAGAAAGAAACAATTCAAGAAGAATTTCTCCAACMAAAAAGAGTMRAAAAGTGAAARGAGCAAAAAGGATGAGGTAATTTGTTATGAATGCAAAAAACCGGGTCATATTAGAACCGATTGTCCTTTTCTTAAATCATCCAAGAAATCTAAGAAGAAAGCAATGAAGGCTACTTGGGATGATAGTGATGAAAGTGGAAATGAAAGTGAGAATGAAGAAGTGGCCAACTTTTGCTTCATGGCTCATAGTGACAAGGAGGATGAAAAAGATGATGAGATAACTCTTGATCCCCTTTCTTATGATGAGTTGTTTGAAGCTTTTGAGAATATGCAAAATGATTTAGAAAAGCTTGGTTCTAAATATGTTATGCTTAAAAAGAAATACAATGTCTTAACTAGTGAAAATAAGTCTTTACTTGATGATATTGCTTGCTTAAAGAAAAATKAGCATGATGTTRTAAATATCTCTTRTGATAAGCATGTTCTTGATYGTGATGAGAAAAATGCATTACTTGATAAAATTAGATTTCTTGAGCATGATGGTTGTGAAAAAAATAATTTGATTAAATTGCTTAAGAAAAATTAATCAAATGCTTTAGTGGAACTTGATAAGGCTAAAGATTCTATTAAAAAATTAACAATAGGTGCTCAAAGGTTGGACAAGATTATTGAATTAGGTAAACCTTATGGTGATAAAAGAGGTTTAGGATATATTGATGAATGCTCTACTCCCTCAAGTTCTAAAATTATCTTTGTTAAAGCATCTCCTAATATGCCTAAGCTTGTTGCTCCTAAAGTTGTATCTAAACATACTAAAATTAACTTTGTGCCTATATGTCATTATTGTGGTGTTGAAGGTCATATAACACCTAAGTGCTTTAAATTAAAATATGCTCAAAATACTAGAAGAAATTTTTCTCAAAGAGCAAAGTTTCACAATGCTCCAAGAAAAACTTTCTCCAAGAAAAGTAAAATGCATAAATTTGTTGTAAAAGATAATTCATTGCATAATGTTGTTTGTTTTTCATGTGGCAAGTATGGACATAAATYTTATTCTWGTTACTTGTCTAAATCTTATGCTTTCAATAAAAATGCAAAAATGAAATGGATCCCCAAGTTTGTTAATGCTAACCTTCTAGGACCCAAACAAGTATGGGTACCAAAGGATCAAATTTAAATTTTTGTGTTTGTAGGTTTGTTTGAAAGCTTCCAAGAAAGGTAAGTGGTACTTGGATAGTGGTTGCTCAAGGTACATGACGGGAGACCAATCCAAGTTTGTCACTTTCTCCAAAAAGGATGGAGGTTTTGTAACTTTTGGTGATAGCAAGAAAGGTAAAATAATAGGTAAAGGTAGTATAGGTAATGAATCTTCTATTTTGATTGAAGATGTACTTTTGGTTGATGGTTTAAAGCATGATTTACTTAGTATTAGTCAATTGTGTGATAAAGGATTTAGAGTTGTGTTTGATAAAAAGAATTGCATCATTGAAAATGCTAGTGATAGAAAAGTTTTATTTGTTGGAAATAGAGACGAAAATGTGTATACTATTGATTTGAATGATTGTCCTATTAGTGATAAATGTTTATCGGTCTTGCATGATGATTCTTGGTTATGGCATAGAAGACTAGGACATGCTAGCATGCACTTAATTTCAAATATTTCCAAGAATTCTTTGGTTAGAGGTCTTCCCAAGTTTAAATTTGAAAAAGATAAAGTTAGTGATGCTTGTCAAATGGGTAAGCAAACCAAGTCTTCTTTCAAATCTAAAAATATGATCTCTACTACAAGACCCCTACAACTATTACACATGGACTTATTTGGCCCTTCTAGAATTGCTAGTTTTGGAGGGAATTATTATGCCTTTGTGATAGTTGATGATTTTTCAAGATTTACTTGGGTTTTGATGCTAAAACAWAAGRATGATGCTTTGAAAAGTTTTTCTAGTTYTGCCAAAAGAGTTCAAAATGAAAAAGRATTTTTGATTTYTAAAATTAGGAGTGATCATGGAGGAGAATTTGATAGTAATGCTTTTGAAAATTTTTGTGAAGRAAATGGATTTTCTCATAACTTCTCCGCTCCAAGAACTCCTCAACAAAACGGTGTGGTTGAAAGGAAAAATCGTACTTTGCAAGAATTTGCTAGGTCAATGTTACATGAGTATGGTTTATACCTTCTTATTTTTGGGCAGAGGCCGTTAATACCGCTTGTTATGTTTTAAATAGAGTTTTAATTAGACCTTCTTTAGATAAAACTCCTTATGAACTTTGGCATAACAAAATTCCAAATATTGGGTACTTCAAAGTTTTTTGTTGCAAATGTTTCATTTTGAATAACAAAGAAAAGCTTGGAAAATTTGATTCTAAGACGGATGTTGGTATTTTCCTTGGTTATTCCTCTACTAGTAAAGCTTATAGAGTTTTCAATAAAAGAACTTTGATAGTTGAGGAATCTATGCATGTGGTATTTGATGAATCTTGCAATGTTTTTTCTAATGATTCTTTTTGTAGTGATTCTTTAGAAAGAAATTTTGGAGATTTACTTGTTAGTGACAAAAGCAAAGAGATTGTTTCAAGTAAGCAAGAAGTGAGCATCAACGAAAATAAGGTGGACGGTTTTTCATCCATGCCTAAAGAGTGGAAGTATGCTCCATCCCATCCTAAGGATTTAATTCTTGGTGATCCCGAACAAGGTGTGAAAACTCGTTCTTCCCTTAATATGTTTAATAACATTGCTTTTGTTTCTCAAATTGAACCAAAAAGTTTTAAAGATGCCGAAAGTGATGAATTTTGGATTTTAGCTATGCAAGAAGAATTAAATCAATTTGAAAGAAACAAAGTTTGGGAATTAGTCCCTAGGCCTTCTAATRSTTCTATAATTGGGACTAAATGAGTCTTTAGAAATAAAATGGATGAAAATGGAAATATCATTAGAAATAAAGCTAGACTTGTAGCTCAAGGTTATTGTCAAGAAGAAGGAATAGATTATGAGGAAACTTTTGCACCCGTTGCTAGATTAGAAGCCATTAGAATGTTACTTGCTTTTGCTTCTTATAAGAATTTTATTTTATACCAAATGGATGTGAAAAGTGCTTTTTTAAATGGTTATATTATGGAAGAAGTTTATGTGGAACAACCTCCGGGATTTGAAAGTTTTGATTTTCCAAATCATGTTTTTAAGTTGAAAAAGACTCTTTATGGTTTAAAACAAGCTCCAAGAGCTTGGTATGATAGACTTAGTAATTTTCTTATTGAGAATGGTTTTAAAATGGGTAAAATTGACACTACTCTCTTTATTAAGTCTAAAGAAAATGATATGCTTCTAGTGCATATATATGTGGATGATATTATTTTTGGTTCTACTAATCCTTCTATGTGAGAAGAATTTTCTAAATGCATGCATAATGAGTTTGAAATGAGTATGATGGGAGAACTTAGCTTCTTCCTTGGACTTCAAATCAAACAACTCAAGGATGGTATCTTCATAAGTCAAGAGAAATACACAAGGGATTTGCTCAAAAGGTTCAAATTCAATGAAGGTAAAATTGCCAAAACTCCTATGAGCATATCCACTAAGCTTGACAAGGATGAGAAAGGTAAATGTGTGGATGTAAAGACTTATCGAGGTATGATTGACTCTTTAATTTATTTAACCGCTAGTAGACCCGATATTATGTTTAGTGTATGTGTTTGTGCTAGATTTCAATCTTGTCCTCAAGAATCTCATGTGCATGCCGTTAAAAGAATTTTTAAATATTTGCTTGGAACTATTGATTTAGGCTTGTGGTATCCTAGAAATGTTGAATTTAATTTGGTAGGATATTCCGATGCGGATTTTGCGGGTAGTTTACTTGACTGAAAGAGTACTAGTGGGACTTGCCAATTTCTTGGTAGTTCCTTAGTTTCTTGGTTTAGTAAAAAGCAAAATTCGATTGCTTTATCAACTACCGAAGCGGAATATATTGCGGTTGCTAGTTGTTGTTCTCAAATTCTTTGGATGAAACAAACTCTTTGTGATTTTGGATTAAAGTTTGAAAATGTGCCTATATTTTGTGATAATACAAGTGTCATAAATTTGACTAAAAACCCTATACATCATTCTAGGACTAAGCATATTGATATTAGACATCACTTTATAAGAGAGCATATGCAAAACGGTCATATTACTCTTGAATTTGTAAGCTCAAATAATCAATTAGCGGATATTTTTACCAAGCCTTTAAATGAAGAATGCTTTTGCAAAATTAGGCTTGAGCTTGGTATTATTCGTTGTGATGCATCTTGATTTTGTATTTGCTATTTTTTTTAAATGCATATTGATAGGGAGAGCATTTATGCAAAATTGTGTTCATATTTTTAGGGGGAGCTTTTTATGTTATTAATTATTTTTTTGTTCTTTTTGATGATTCCAAAGAGGGAGAAGTTTAAGAAAAATTTGTTCTAAAAATGTTTCATGATTTATTGGTTTATTAATCCATGGATGTATCAATTGAGGGGGAGAAATTAATCTTTGAATGATTTTTAAGTAAGTATGATATTTTGGATTTACTATGATGTCTATGTATTTTTCTTTGGAAGTTTGTCATCATCAAAAAGCGGGAGATTGTTTGCTTTTTGGCCTTAATCTCAAATTAATTAATTAATGTTTTGATGAAAACAAACTTAATTTTATTTATTGACATTTTTTGTATTTTAAAGTGTCCACAGTGTAGATCTCGTTACAACGATTCCAACGACTGTTAGATCATCCAAATCGGAGCTCAAACGGAGAAGTTACGATCGAAACAAATTGGAAGGAAAATACCCGAGAAGATGACGTGGACAGTTCGTAAGCTAAAAAGTGACAAGCTTCTTTTTAAAATATATATATATATTAAAAAAGAAAAGAAAAAGATTAAAATTTTTTGAAAACTTTACCGTTTTCTCTCATATATATATATATATAATTAAAAAAACTTGTGACAAGTTTATTATATATATATAATTAAAAAAACTTGTCACATCAACTTGTCACATCTCTTTATATATATATTATTCTTAATTTATTTTTTTTATTTATTTTTTTCAAAATTATCTCAACCCTTCGTTCTTAATGATTAAGATTTAATGGTTTAAAATCAAACTTGATTTTTTTTACCATTTTCTTCCATCTATTTAAACTAAACTTCTCATTCAAAATTACATAACAATTCTCTTATTCTCAATCCTCCATAACTTCAAAATTTTCATTTTTCTAATCTCTCCAAGTTCTCAATTTTTCTTTCCATCTTATTTTTGAGAGAAATTTTATTGTTGTGAGGATTGAAATTTTTCTGAGCTCAAATTTGTATATTTACTCTATTTGAGAGTTTGTAAGTGTGTGTTTCAAAATCTTCAACTCATTGTAACGGTGTGATCCTCACCGTGGAGAGGATCGTCTTTGCTCTTGTGAAGAGCAGTGTACCGGTTTGACTCCTACCGTGGAAAGAGTCAGAATTTCAATTTACAATCGAAGAGGTGCTTGGGAAGTGGAATAAGACAGTTGTGTCGAACCACTATAAAAATTCCTAGTGTCAAATTTCTCTAACCCTCTCTCTTATTTATTTTTACAATTAATCTTAGAATTTGATTGTATGCTTTAAATTTCTCTTGTTTGCCTTAGAATTTATTTTATCTTACTTTGTTAAAATTGCACATCTCAAAAAGTGTATTATTTTTGTTTAAATTGGGCCCATTTATTAAAAAGTTTATATTTTGTTAATTAAACTCTATTCACCCCCTCTAGGGTTGCCATACCGATCCAACAATTGGTATAAAAAAAATAAACTAAGAATAATATATATGATAAAATAAAATTAAAAAAAAAAAAATATATATATATATATATGAGAGAAAACGGTAAAGTTTTCAAAATTTTTTTTTTAATCTTTTTCTTTTCTTTTTCAATATATATATATATATATATTTTAAAAAGAAGCTTGTCACTTGTCAGCTTACGAACTGTCCACGTCATCTTTTCGGGTATTTTTCCTTCCAATTAGTTTCGATCGTAACTTCTCCGTTTGAGCTTCGATTTGGATGATCTAACAGTCGTTGAAATCGTTGTAACGAGCTCTACACTGTGGACACTTTAAAATACAAAAAAATGTCAATAAATAAAATTAAGTTTGTTATCATCAAAACATTAATTAATTAATTAATTAAAATTAATTAATTTGAGATTAAGGCCAAAAAGCCAACAATAATATATATCAACTCTATATTTACAAAACCACAAACTCAACAAAACCACTAATAAAGAACTCCACAAAGAACAAAAGTCATACACCTAGATAACAAAATGATAGTCTATAGAGAGGGGGGTGGGTGGGGTTGTAATCAAAAGACATGGTTAAACCTTTACATACTATGGTCTCAACAACTTGTGAGTTAACGGGCTGTCCATCTTTTTTCATATTTTCTTTTGTCCACGCCATTACTCTGCATAACCTTATTTTGAGTAGAAGATCTATTTTTTTACATGGATAAATAATAGAATGTTATTTCGTTATATCATATGTAATACTAATTAAAAAAATTATATAACTCAATACCATCTCTTCTGCCAGTTGAGCATATCCTTTACAACTACAAGTGTGTAGAAGTTGTTTTTTTCATCTCCTTGAATTTTTCACTCTTCGCCTAATAATGATGTTCAAAGTGTTAATACATACCTAAATGGATAAGAAATAAAGAAACAATGTGTTTTCATACCAAGAATTTAGCACTTCTCTTCTCTTTCACGAAATCCGTCCAATCATCCATTGAAGAAATATTGTCTGGCTTTAGTTTAGCCAACTTCAGTTGAGCATATCTTTTACAACTACAAGTGTGTGGAAGTTGTTTTTTTTTTCATCTCCTTGAATTTTTCACTATTCGCCTAATAATGATGTTCAAAGTGTTAATACATACCTACATGGATAAGAAATAAAGAAACAATATGTTTTCATACCAATAATTTAGCAGTTCTCCTCTCTTTCACGAAATTCATCAAATCATCCATTGAATAAATGTTGTCTAGCTTTAGTTTGCCAACTTCTCATTAGTTGAAGCAGTTTGTATTCGACTTACCAATCGTGATTTGCTTGCCCTACATAGCGCACCCATCTTCTAAAAAATGTATTTCTTCGGCCAATCTTCATGGATATTATATCGTGCTTAGATAATATAGTAATGAAAAAAGTAGACTTAATTATAGTAGTAAAATAGTTCACATATTAATTACAAAATAACTTAAACAATTTCTTCGTTAGTGAACTCATAAATATTTAGTACAATGCCTAAATAGAATGCTATAAAACATTCTTTTGCCTTGTTGAAACCTTCTTCCATGTTTCAAGATTCATTGGCACTACCTCTCGAACAAGTGAACCTAAAAATGAAGCAAACCCAATAGATTTATCACCAACAAGTTGTCCATATTGATTAAAAGCTAGCTTTAATTGTGGCACAACTTTTATTATTTTCATTTTGGTAGGACATCTTCTTCTTTTAGGCTTTGGTTCTTTGATAGGAGGTTCAGACCCTTCTCCATTTTCCTCTGCCTCAATATGAACCTCTTCGATGGGTGTCAACCTACGAAGTACTCCCCTTGTCCAAGTAGTAGGAGAATCTAGTACATTAGGTAGCAACCTTTTAGAGTTTTGGTCTASCTCATTAGAGTTGGGATGATCAACATGAGTTTCCCTTTCTTCATGGATGTATGTGGGAGGAGTCATAGGTGGATTATCCATATCATTTTCATGAATTGAGTTTTCGGAAACATGTGGCATCTCACTTTCTTTCATTGCACTAGACTTCCTAGTATTTAGGTCATCCACTATCTTTCTTTTAACATGCTTTGGCGGATGAATAGATGATTCATTGTCGTCACAATCTATTAAGTTCATACTAAAAGACGTTGCAAATCTCCAAAAACTCTTTTCAGCATTGTGCTCAGATCGTCGTGGTTCAACTACATATGGTCCAGTAGTTGGCAACTTTTTCCATTTTTTTAGAATGCCCTTCTTTTTAAGCAAATCTTGAAGAAACAAAAAAGTTATATTTAGTATATACTAATTTCTTATATAGGAAAATATTTAAAGTTAACTTACCAGTACATTTGTCTTCATGATGCGAAATTGATAATTGTTGGGCCTACACATTTTACCTGAAAGAGAAAATACTAAATGACATCGTAAGAATTAAAACAACATAAAGAAATTATACATATTCATATACAAACAATTATTCATATGAAATATATGTAAAGCTATAAGTTCAAAGTTCAAAGTTTGAGGTTCATCACACTATGAATATATATGTTAATGCAAATCTACAATATACCAACAAACTGACACTTTGTTTGTGCCAATATACAAAATGCTCTCTAGACCTATCTTAGTCCCAATTTAAAAAATCGACAATACTATTAAGTTTTTGCAAATTTAAAAATATTGTGACAATACTACATTTGTGCAAATTTTACAAAATGGTCACTAGTGTTATCATATCAAGGTGCCTTCACAATCATCGCTTGCATAATTGCATTATTCAAAATCTTCATCAATTTCTTCAAGTGTAGCAAATGGTCTTTCACCCACAAAACTTGTGAGTGCATTCTCATCATACTTGTTTAATTCATGAAAGCCCCTAGGAGGTGCTTTTAATAAAACATATCAATTAGATGTGACATGTTCTCTTGCGAAAAATACTTGTTTCATGTGTGATGCAAGAATAAATGATTCTTTTTCAATTTGACTTTGACTTTGATGCAAGTTAACCAATGTAAATCCATCTTCAAATTTAATTCCATTATAGTGTTTTGCCAGATCACACTTAAAAGTGGGAGTCAATAGATAT